TGAATATGATCCATATGCTAATATTTGAAAAAATATCATTGCACGAAATCCAATCGAATGTAAAATATCTTCAGCTTTTTGTTTAAAAGATATTGAATCATCCGAAATTGATGAAAAGGATTTTTCATAATCAATATTGTCTGGAGATTCAGACATAGATAAACCTGGAGCATCACTACCACCAATCTGCATTCTGTAGTGTACAGAGAAAAAAGATAAGAAACGATGCTATTGAGCGAAGCACAGTTTGACCAGAATATAATAGACTAAATTGAGTGATTAATTGTGAAAAACAGTAGCGAAGAATTCTTGCTGTTGTTATGTCTCTTTCGATTTATGTGATTCGTTTAGCTGAGAAAGCGCCTGTCTCAAAATTGGAATTTCGTAAATAGACAAGCGATGAAAGCAAGGAGAGACCTGATCACAAACGTGAAAGAATGAAACGGGTCAAAGAAGGAAAAAAAATATGCATTTTTGTCAAAAATGTTTTCTTCTGACAGAACACCTGTCTCATCTGACAAAAAAGAACGTAGGAAAATGAGAAAAGAAATGGAAAAATGGAAAAAAAAGAGTACAAATGATGCCACATCAAATCATGAATAAAACAACGAAATAATAAGACAAGCAACCCAAATAGATCGGTGGTGATAAACAAAAAGAAGCAAATAAGATACAATTTGAGCAGAGTGATACTGACTTTAAAAATTCTGTTTAGTCGCAGAAAGGTACATAGAGATAGTTTTGAAAATGAGCAGAGGCAAAAAAAGCAGATATATAAAAAGGATTAGTAAAGAAGTAAAAGATTCTATATCATAAGCAATCTATACAAATGTGCTGCTATCGGGTTTTGTAATGCAACTAGAAGTAATTTAATGATAAACATATATGTGCCTATATATATTTATTCATGGAATGTTGTTTTTATTTTATTTTATAATCTTGATTTATCTCGTGTATAGATAGATTTTATTGTATTTGAATTCACATAAAAATGATGGAATCTAGAGGATAATATCGAGATGGCCACTATTTCCTTCTATGGATCACTTTTAGCCACATATATACACGGACGTTATATTAGCATTGTGTTCGATTACTATTACAGTGAGCCTGAGTTGTTACGGCTTGCTTATATTGTCTTTTTGCTTGTTTCAATATAATCTTTTTTTGTTATTGGTCACTTACATCCAATAATCATAAAGTTTCTTAAAATTGAATGTGCACCGTACAGGTAATAAAGGCTTTAGGAGTTGGCTACTGAGCGCAAATTAATAAAGAATGCAACTAAAGATTTTTTCATAAGATTTGATAGCATTTTTATTTTTTGTATCTTGGTCGAATTTGAAGAGTAACGCATAAATTAATCGTCAAAGAGAAATTGCGTTCGATATAAAACAACTAACAGAAAACACTAGATTGGTAAAAATATCGAAAAAAATTTATGAAAGTTCTTTGTTCGACGTAACTGAACCTTATGAAATTTCGCTTCTTTCTCTTTGGTGGCTCGTAGTCTCATAAAGAAACAAGCAAATATCCTGATATTTTTATTCCAAATGTAACCCAGTTAGGTCTATCATTCATAAAAATTTCAGGCACTTTGCCTTCTTCTTGGCGAAGATACAGCTCACCAAACATGGAAGAATACAATTCCATAACGTTCATCACGCCAAAAAATACCTGGGATCAATTTTTTTCAATATTTTTACTGATCTTGTATTTTCTCTCAATTGATTTGGATTGAGCGCAATTTCTCTTGGATGATAACTTATATGCTATTCTTTAAATGCATCAAGATATAAAAAATAAAAAAATACAAATGTGATTAAAATTTACGAAAGATTTTTTACGTGACATAGTTTTTATGTTCATCATTACAATATTTTGCTAACCAACTGACAAAGTTTGAGTTTCACTATTTTCTCGAACCACTTGTCTTGGGACAATATAAATTGAAGGGAACATTTTGCCTCTACATACTAAGTTTCTGTAACTTCTTCCAGTAAAATACATATTGTGTTCTGTACAATATTATAAGGTAATACTTTAGCAACAATATAACCGTATATTCGATCACTAATAATTAGAACATATAAACCACCATTAAAACATAATACTTATGGTCTCCATCAATGCATACTTCACTCTTGACATACATCATCGGATGACTCGTAGCAAAAATTTATTTTTATCAGTAACTTTCTTTCTGGTCTTTTTCCTCATTGGCAAATTTATGCAGGTGATATTTGTTGATATGCTCCTTCCTTCCTTATCTTCACCACTCTCGTAATATTGAATTCCATCACAGAAATATATTCGACTCAAAATTTCTTGAAAATATTTCATTTGATATAATTGTTTCAAATCCTCCTTATATTTCGAAAGAACAAATATCATATTGTGATCGAGGAATCTTCTATGAACCATTTATTGCTTTATTTGCTGATCCACCGTTAAAATTCTATGCTGAAATAATTCATCGTGCAATCAATGGATGGCTTAAACCTGAAGGTTATCTTGTTTTTGAATGTTCTCCATTTAATGTTCATCATATCAAACAATTATT